CAGCAGCATCCTTCAGGGCAGACACAGAGCCTCACATGTTTCCGCAGCTCTCCGTACAGAGCCTGACACACAGCACGCTTCCCCCCTCCTCCCGGACACGGCCTGTTCTGTGTCTGCGGCCCAAAGAAACAAACACGCAGACAAGCAAGGCTTCCACGGGAGGGAAGACCTTTCCTCCTCTTCCTTCACTTCGGCACCTCCCCACTGGGGACACAGTGGGGACGGGGCCACAAAGTATATCAAAAGCCAAAAAAACACAATATTCACCAGCAGGGGAGCTGCTCGGACAAACCCAAATGTCTGCTTTGGCCTGGAATTATCTCTGTCGACCAGAACCTGTAGTTAGCATGCATAGACTCTGATTTCTAAAAGATGAGAAAAGCATTCCGTAAGAGTCTTAATAAATGTGGTCGTTTTGGCAAAACTGAGTCTTCACTGGCTGCCATCGTGGGTTGATAGTGAAAGGGGCTGCTAGCCCCCCGGAGGAGCCCCCTCGCTAATGTCCTGTATCCGCTCTTACCCTTGCCAACCTGTTCTCGCCCGGGCAGCAGGGGCGATCTTAAAATGAAAATCGGACCCTGTCAGATCTCCACTTAAAATCCTTCAGTGGCTTCCCTCGGCTCATAAGGTCGAATCCAGACTTCCTCCCGCAGCCTTGGCTCTGCCTGCCGCCCTGCGCCCAGCTTCCACCTCCGTGGCTCTCCTGGTGTTCCTGTGCCCTGGGCTGGCTCCCTCTGGGGCCTGCGCCCATGCTGCTCTGTATGCACGGAAAGCTCCCCCGACCTCCCATCCCACCTGCTCTGCACGTGGCCGCCCCTCTTGGAGCCTGTCATCTTGCTTAAACGCCACCTCCTCAGACAGGTCTTCCCGGCCACTCTGTTAAAGTGGCTGCTCTGCCTCAGCACTCGGCCGTTCCCTTCCCTGCTTTTGCCACAGCTGATAATCGTTCAGTGGGTTCGTGTCTGTGGCGGTATCACCCATCTCCGGAAGCTCCCAGAAGATGGCACCCCGTCTGTCATCGTCACTGTTATGTCCCAGCACCCAGCACAGAGGAGGGGTTTAAATAAATGGACGCTGTAAGAGGTTTGGGACTTGAGCCTCCTTCCTCTTGGCTGCCACACTGTGTTGTTTCTGCACACAGAAGACCCGGCTCGCCCTCCCCTCCCCTGCACTCCTCTACACAACGCCAACGCCAGGCCTTTGACTCTGACTATCAGATCAGCTAAGCCGAACGCAATGAACTGGCGTTTTCAATTCATGGTCTTGAATTCTAGGCCTTGAGCCTTTGTACGATTCACATGTAAACTACTGGTTTTTGAGAGAGCCTCTCCTGCCCGGGCCTGGCCCAGCCACGGCCCCTTCCTCCTGGAGACGTGGGCGGCATCGTCGGGGAAAGAGCAGAAAGAAGCGCTAAGGCCTGACCCGGGTTATTATGATATAATGGTCATTCTGCTCACTCTCTACCAGCCCTTGACCTCGGGCAAGTTTCTGACCCTCTCGGAGCCTTGGTATTCTCATTTTTAAAGATGGGACTGATGCTACCTACAAAATAAAGATGTTTGCGTGGACTCAGTGGGGTAACGTGAAAGTGTCTTACACACAATGGTTGTTACAGAAACATGTTTTCTTTCATTTCTACTCAGTCTCCACACTCTCGCGTTTCTCAGCTTCCCGTGAGACTGGGATTTCAGTCACTCGTTCATCGATTGCCTAACTCGTTCATTCGATCGTTCACCTCAGGGACGTCAGACGGTCTCTAACTAGAAGAGGATGAAGCCCTAACTCCCGTAGCTAGTTCTGGGGGCCACATTCCCTTCTCTCTCTCAATTCAGCTCTGTTCTCAGTGACATCCTAACACCCCCTGAACTCAAGGATGCAGCTGCCTTTCTTCCCAGACGCCCTCACCTCCTCTCTGTCCCAGGTCTTATCTCATATCATTAAATCCAAAGCAAACACACTCCTTTTCATGCCAGCCAAACTTCACGTCTCATTTCCTCCCTCCTTCCTTCCCTGACGAGTGCGGCCCTCGCCAGCCTCCCTTTTCCGAGAGCACATGCAGCACAGCACAGCTTGGTCCACTCTCATGATGGCTGCTGATTTCGCGGCACATCGAGCAACACCGAAAGCGGAGAAGGAAGCGGGCAGCGTGACCCGGCAGTGAGTGTGCGTGTTTGCTCTCCTACCTGGGGAGCTCCCCCTCCTGCTTTTGCATCCGTGCGGGGCCCGAGCCTCACACAGCTCTTGGTGGTGAGGACTCCCCGCCTCTATCTACGAAAGGCTCTACCTAGGGAATCCAAGACATTCCCTGGATCCTGTTAGTAATAATAGGTGATTGAAAATGAGAAACACACACACACACACACACACATACTCAACAATGAATAACTAGAAAATGCAACTAAAAATTAATCTTGCTCACAAAAACCATAAACTTATAGACTTCCAAAGAATGAATGATATCTACAATGTTCCTGGCTGGGGAAAATTAGTAACATAAAGACATCAATTCCCCCCAAATTAATCAATAAATGTGTGCAATCCCAATTAAAATCTCAGATTTTTTTTTTTTTGGAATTTGGTAACTGTAAAGTTCATCTGTAAGAGTAAATTTGGGAAATTAGCTAAGAAATTTGGGGGGGGAAATGAAAGGGTACTTGTCCTGTAAGAATATTAAAATTTGAGACTATGACTTCAGTCAGCTGAGTAGCTATGTGTCTGGTACCACAAGTAGAGTCCAGGGGTAAATGAGGGAGCACTGGACCCGAGAAGAGAGTCTAGGAACAGACCCACGGCCAACAGGACATTCGACCCAGCGGGGAGAATCCGTATGATTTACTTACAAGAGTGTCATCATTTCTCAGGTATTCACACGCACCACCCAGTGTCAGGCTCCTCCGAGGCACTGGAGCTACAACAGTGGTTTCATGAACGGTCCCACAGTCATGAAAATTATGTTCTAGTTAGGGAGAGGGAGGGTAAAAAAATAGGTAAGCTAAGTATAGACTGATAAATGGTAAGGAGGAAGTAAACAGATGTTTTGATAGACAAAATATGGAAGAGGCTACCTTACATCGGTGTGGGACAATTGAGTGTCCATTTGGAAAAATAATGAACTTAGCAACCTCAAAAAATAATACAAGTTCTGGGAAAATATTAAAGTTTTGTTTTTTTAATCATGTTGGGGGTAAGGTTTGCCCAAGCATAATGTGACATCCAGTATCCCTAAAGGAAAAGATGAACATGTATGATTATACAAAACGAATGATTTTTATACCAAATAGACACCATAGCAAAACTTAAAGGGAAAAATGTCACCAGACACTAGGATAAAATATTAGCAACAAATATGTCACATAAAAGAGAAATCAAAATATATAAAGATAAATAAAAGTAATAATGTATAATTAAATAGAATTTTAAAAGACCATTAACCAATTAACATGGATGAAGGGTACAGAGATACAAATGCCCAGTGAATATGCATGAAGATACCCAACTTCACTAAATTATCTAAACTCAAAATACCAGTGAAATTCCATTTTGGTGTAACAGATGGGGGAGTATTTTAATATAGAATATATTTACAACATCATAATATCTGACAGTGAGGTGAAGTTTAGAGAGAATAGTAATATTAATATACATAAATTGATACAATCATTTGAGAGCATAATTTAGCAGTATTTATTTAATAATTTTTAAATAGATACCCTTTGCCCCCCCAAAAAAATTATTCCTATGAGTCAACTGAAACAGAAATGTGCAAGGCTACATAAAGATGGACATGTTCCTTGCAGTTTTATGTGAAATAGTGAAATATAACAATGTCCATTTCTGCAGAAAAAAATGAAGGAGATATATATGTCCACAATACAGTATTAAGTGAAGAAAGAAAGTTACATAAAACTGTGTAAAATTTAGTCTCATTTTGAGGGAACACTCTATATGTGTGAATATATATATGGTTTTGTGAAAGAGAGACTTTTTAAAATTCAGTACATCTGTACATTGTTCGCCTTTTCCTGCCTTGAGCATGTCTTATTTTTAAAATTTAAGAAGCTGTTTTTAAAAAGAGATGGTGATAGATGGATTGGATCCTAGAACAGAAAAAAGACATCAGTGGAAAAACTGGTGAAACCCAAATACAGTCTGGAGTTTGGTTCCTAGTAGTACGCCAACGTTGGCTTCTTGGCTGTGGCGGATGGACCGTGGAAATGTGAGATGTTAACAGTGGAAGAAATGGTGAAGGCTCTGTGGGAATGCTCCGTATCACCTTTGCAACTTTTCTGTAAATCGAAATTATTCCACATCGAAAAAACTGATTAGCAGAGAGAGTCGCATAGGCCGTTAGCCAAGGCATCTTTGGCTGCCAAAACCTTTGGTCCCAGAAGAACTCAGGTTACTGCTGAGCTGTCTTGCTCTGAGAGCTCTGTCTGTGGCCTGCAGGCCCCCCACACGTGGAGACCCCTGCCTGGCCTCCTGGGGCGGGCAGGGGTTATCTAAGGGTTTCCCTCTATGGAAAACCGAGGTACAGTCTCACCCTGGCCTTCACTGCGGCTGGGCCAGCTTCTCAGAGACCCCACAGATCTCCCTGCCCTCCAGCCCCCGTGGTTTTTTACTTGTATCCTTTGTCCAAACCAGGCCCTGCCTTCTCAGCCTCCCCCTCCCGATCCATAATGGAAGGATATGGGCTCAGGAGTGACGCCTGGGGCTGCGGTGGTGGGGCGGACAGGCAGGTTAACAGGGTTGAGGAGAGGGGTGGCAGTGGCAACACAGAGTTGATAATAATAAACAACACGCACAAAGCCCATATCCCCTCGCCCTTGTCCATTGCTAGTGGCCCCAGGGGGAGGAGCTGGCCAGCTGGGACCCGGAGGAAGCTGCCGGACACCGCCATCTCTTGCTTTCTGCCGGCTTCACAGGGCGAGGCCTCGCCTGACAGGAAGCCCCCGGGAAGCAGGGGCTGAGCCCGGCGTGACCGCTGCCTCTTCTCCGTGCAGGCTCCACTTCCTGGTGTTCGACACGGAGGAGGTCCACGACGTGCTGCGCATCTGGGACGGGCCGGTGGAGAGCGGGGTTCTGCTGAAGGAGCTGAGCGGCCCGGCCCTGCCGAAGGACCTGCACAGCACCTTCAACTCGGTCGTTCTGCAGTTCAGCACCGACTTCTTCACCAGCAAGCAGGGCTTTGCCATTCAGTTCTCAGGTCTGTGTACGCCCCCTCCAGCCCCTCTCCATGCGTCCTGCCACACGACACCCACCTCCTTCTGGTCCCTCCTCTCTTCCATTTCTCCATCCATGTAAAGATATTTTTGGAGCATCAGCTGTGTGCCTGGTACATGGTTAGCACTCACTTGTTCAGATATCCACGCTGAGCTCACGGTGGTGGGGCGGACAGGCAGGTTAACAGATACCTACATACAAGTTGATAAGTGTCCGAATGGAGACATTTGGGCTGTAATGGTCACCTTGGAGCATCAAGTAAGACAGAAAGTGTTTAGGCTGGGTGTGGCGGCTCACACCTATAATCCTAGCACTCTGGGAGACCGAGGCGGGAGGATTGTTTGAGCTCAGGAGTTTGAGACCAGCCTGGGCAAGAGCGAGACCCCGTCTCTACTAAAAATAGAAAAATTAGCCAGGCGTTGTGGTGCGTCCCTATAGCCTCAGGGTGGCTGAGGCAGGAGAATTGCTTGAGCCCAGGAGTTTGGGGTTGCTGTGAGCCATGATGACACCACTGCACTCTACCTGGGGCAACAGAGCGAGACTCTGTCAAAAAAAAGAAGGAAAGAAAGAAAGAAAGAAAGCAAGTGTTTCACAGAGGGAATAGTGATCTATGACACAGAAAGGTGCCACTGAGTTGGACTTCGGAGGGTTTGTGCACCCCTATTAAATGGAAAAGAGAGAAAAGGGCATTCTAGGTACAAAGAACACATGAACAAGTGCAGAAGCAGGAATGTGGGTTCCAGAAGTGCAGGGATGTCCCTTGTGGCTGAGACACAGGGAGCGTGGAGGGATGCGGGCGACACCAGTGGCCAGTGTTTGGGGCACGGTTATGAAAGAGCTGATACAACGTGCAACACGCTTGGGTTCTTAGTTTGGTGCGGGTCTCAGTAAGGACTGGAAGCCACACCTGAGTAATCTAAATTCGAGTAATTATGCACTGCAAGTGACAGGGAGCTGCCCAGGATGGGCACTGCTCACACATCCCGTTCCTGGGTTTAGATAGCGTATGTGACTGGTCCTGCCTCTCCCGGGCCTGCATCGTCTCTTCTCCTCTGAAGTGAGTCTTCCTTTACTCCTCTCCCTGAACAGGTGCCTCCACCTCGGTTTCTGCTTGTGTTTATTATACAGCAGCTGTCTTCATTACCATCTCCTTACTCCACTGTGGGGGTAGTTTCCATGGTGATTCCAGAGCAAGTCTATGTGGCACCTGTGCCATGGCTTTGCCCCAATACTCCCACCCTGGTTGGTGTAGCAACTAAGGGTGGCTGGGCCGTGTCCCTGGCACTGTCGAGGCTGTTACAGGGTTGCAGATTCCACTTCTAGCTCTTTTATGCATCTGTCTTCTCCGTGGAGATGAACATTTAGCAGCATGGGGAGCAGATGAGGGTCTCCGGGATCATATGTGTTTATACTTATTAGCTTGTCCATTTAACACTCGTTCAAGCTTCCAGCCTAGCATTTCCAGTCTATTCCCCGGAGTTCCATGGAATATTAATTGGTATGGCACGAAAAGAAGTTTGCATGATCAAGTAATGTCGGGAAGGAGCTCAGCTTGAGCAGACCTAAAGAGGCTGTCTGTAGTGTGGGACTCTGGGAACATTTGCTGTGCTGATGCTCATAAACTCACAAGGTGTCTGGTAGGCCACAATTTCCAAACATATTTGATCACAGGCGATCTTTTTCGAGGCCATCTCAAGAAACTAGCATTTCCTGGAGCAAACTTTGGAAATTGCTGGGATAAGCGATGGAAGGGTCTCCCAGCAGTGAGGAGGGTGGAATACTGAAGAGACTGCTCGGTCCACTCTCTGGGGAAAGGCGTGCTATGAAGAATTAAGGCCAGACATATACTTTCTCCAACTGAGGGTATGGCTTTAAGGCAAAAAAACCCATAATTGTACTGACAAATTCCCCCGCAGATTTGCATTGTCTGACCTCCACTGCGTCCTGGGTGCAGCCACATGGGACAGAGTCTCTGGCCGCGCTCCTGCGCTGTGCCCAGGCTGCCTACTCTTGCATTGCCCAGCTCTTAGAAGTCCTCTTCATCCTTCAAGGTCCATCTCAGATGCCACTGCGTCCTGCTCTCCCCATTCAGAATATATTGCTGTAGCCTGTGGCACTCTGGCACTTTACTTCTATGTCATCGGCACATCGTCAAAACCAGGCATTCCGCCTTGTCTTGATGCTGGCCACCTACTTGCCATCCCACCCAGAGCTCTTAGAGAGTTAGGGCTATGCCACACTTCCCAGACTCCCCTATAGTGTATGTATGCAGCAGGTGCTCACTCATTGCTTAGTAAACATGCAGCTATGAACGCATGAATGGGTAGTTTTCTCCTCCACGAGGGTTTCCTTGGGCAAGCTGCCCTGTGTGTTGCTTAGGCCCACGCAGAGTGGTGCGGTCAAAGCTATCTAGCCAGGGCTCCGGAAAGGCCATGACAGCCTGGCCCAGTGTTCTGGGCATAACCGAGGCTTGGGAAAGGTCACCTTCCCTGTTGCTGTCATCAGTTAGCAAATACCAGGACTACTCTAGGGATGAGAGAATGGCTCACCCCATGTTAACTTTCCAGTGTGTGTTTGACAGGGGATTGTACAGAAATGCCAGGGACGATTAGTGCAGGCTTGGCTTTATTAAGTAAACATGACTGTGTAACATCTAACATCCTGTCTGCACCACGTGGATCCAGCCTTTCCCCGGTGTTTTGCCAAGCAGCTCAAATTCAGGAGCATTAAAGAGAGAGTGAGAACAAAAAAAAGGTGAGCGGGAAGCATAATCCCAGACATCTATTGAGTGGGCGCCACGCTAAGCTTGCCACGACATCAGCTCTTATAATTTTCACAAAAACCGTAAGGTATGGGTACCATTACTAATCCATGTTGCAGATGTGGGCTCCGAAGCTTCTCATACAAGGTCATCGAGTTAATAAGTCACAGTGCCTGCGTAAAAACTCACGTGTCTGGTTCCCAAACCCAGGCTCTTCATCAATGGACTCTATCGCCTCCCATATAAATAGTCTTCCCAAGTATGGTCACAGCAGTGAGATATTTTTATTCTAGGGAATCATTTACATGTGTACAGTGTACTGTAAAGCTAGAGATGAGAGCTGAGTCTGTTTTTAATTGGGAAGGAAAAAGATTGATGCTTATTTGACTTTATAAATAAATTCAGTAAGTGTCAGAAGGTGATGATTTGTTCATTCATTCATTTATTCAACAAATATTTACTGAGCACCATTGTGTGTGCTGAGTTCCGTCCCAAGCCCCGGGGATACAGCTGGGAGCAATACAGCGAAAGACTCTGTTCTCATAGAGATACACAAGTGATATACAACAAAGAGGCCAACAAACAAATTAGCAAGATTATTACAGATTTTGCTGTGAAAAGAACAAAATAGGATAATAAGATAAAATTGATGGAAGGGTATTAAGGGATAAGCCCAGAAGAAGGTGATCAAAGAGTTCTGTCCGAGGAGGTGACATTGGAACTGAAAACTAAATGACAAGATGGAGTTGACATAAGACAATCTGTGGCAAGCTCATTCCAGGCAGAAGGACTGGTATGTGCAAAGGCCCTGCAGGGAGGAAGGGGAGGGGGAACTGAGCGTGTTGTGTTGGAAGATTTTACAAGCGTGGCTGTTAATGATTGAAGCAAAGGATAGGTTTTTAAATGTGATCTCAAAAGAAGAGGCTTAAGATAGGGTACCATATACCAAAGTTGGCAGGTATTTTCCATAAAAGACTAGATGGTAAATATTTCAGGCTTTGTGGGCCATACGGTCTCTGTCATAACAGCTCAACTCTCTCATCATAGCATGAAAGCTATGATAATGTATAAACAAATGAGTGTGCCTGTGTTCCAATAAAACTTTATTTACAAAAACAGGCATAGGTCTAGACTTGGCTGTGGGCCATAGTTTGCTATATACTGCCAAATACCGCTGTTATTGATTATAAGGTTTTAAGTGCTGTGTCTGGACTCACACACAGTCCTAGATGCTATAATTAGTGATATCAGTGTGTACAGTTGCCCAAGGCTGGTGCTTCTCACACTTTTCCACTGAAGTCCTCCTAATTGCAGAAGAGAGTGGGTGCATATTCCCAGGAGGTCTAGAGGATGTAGCAAGCACAAAATCTCTTTGAGGCTTCATGTTTTTGCTAAGAAATTAATGTGAATTTTACATTCTACTCCAAAATAAATCTTTTGTTTTTGTCTAAAAGTAACTTTTCCTGAAATTTTTGAGAAAACTGACACTCCAAGCAAATGAGCATTATTTATCCTGTGGCTTGCAGAACCTTCTATCTCTGGAGTCTGCCGACCACAGTCTATGAGGGATGGCATAGCTGGGGACCAGTCCCTGCTGTCGGCTCTGGACTGTGCAGGTAGCCAGGGTTGTTGCAGCTGCCTCGGAATCCTTTGTCTGGACTTACTCTTGCACCATTTCCTCTGGTGTGTTTCCTCATGCTGCATTTTTTTCATTCATTTTCTCTCTCATTCTTTTTTCATTTATTCCTTCCTTTTATCATGCATTCAGCGTTTGCTTAGAAAACACCTGCTCTGTGTTAGACTAGGTTAGGTACTAGACAACAAACATCTCCCAAATTCCTGAGTATTTTGGATTTTTAATACACCTCAGCTACTTATGTTTTGTTTTGAACTCTGCCACTTGCTACAAACATCTGATTTTTCTTCGAACATGGTTTCAGCCTAATGGATCCTTGGTTGTTTGCCATTCCAAGAGAGAGCATGGTCACCACCTGACTTCAGTAACTCCCTGCGACCTCACCACCACTGCTCAGCACTCAGACAGGCCAATTCTCAAACTCCTTTGCAAACCCTTCTGATCGAATACAGGAAGTTTGGGCTTAATTATCTTGTCTCTCCCTCGTACTGATCACAGTAGTTCCATTATGCAAAATTGCAATGTTTTGTCTATGTAGCAACGCTTGTAGTCTCAGATCAAACCGAACTCAATTCTGCAGTTATAACAGTGCAGTCGTGCTTAACCCGTAGTATCTCACACAGGTGGATGACAGTAATGGCGCAGGCACTGGTAGAAGGGTGGTGGTGATGGCAGTGAGAGCGACAGTGTGTGATCACAGTGGTGGTGGAGGCAGTGACGATAACGGGAGTGAGAGTCGTGGCAGTGTTGCCACAGCGAGCGCCAATGGTGCGGAGGTGCTGGTGGTCGGTCGTGGTAGTGGCACTGGTGATGGCAGTCAGCAAGGGTGATGAGCTAGAAGCTTCTTATCCAGCCAACCCTCAGGCAACTCCACTTCCCCTTCTGTTTTCTTGCCACAGTGTCCACAGCAACCTCCTGCAATGACCCCGGGGTCCCGCAGAATGGGAGCCGGAGTGGCGACAGTTGGGAAGCCGGCGACTCCACGGTGTTCCAGTGCGACCCTGGCTACGCCCTGCAGGGAAGTGCTGAGATCAGCTGCGTGAAGATCGAGAACAGGTTCTTCTGGCAGCCCAGCCCACCAACGTGCATCGGTACAAACAGCTGCAGGGCGCACGCTGCCCTCTGGGCCCACGCTGCCCTCTGGGCCCACGGTTGTGTGCTCCGGCCCCCTGCACAGAAGGGGCGGCTGCGTCTTGAGCCTGGGGCCAGGAGAATTGGAATGGACGAAAGTCCTAGAAACCCAAAGTTTACCCTCTTTGCATGCCTGTGTGCCCACACTCACTCACTCCCCTTCACACGCTCACACTCCACACACACACAACACTACAGACCTTTCGCTTGCTAAACTGGTCCCAGAGATTGCCATGCCAGGCAGATCTGTCCCTTTCTCTCTGGGACAATGGGTCACCTTGGGTAGTGAGGGTCAGCAGGCTCCGAAATGGTTCTCTTCTACCTGAAGCACTAGCAGGACACCCACAGGGCCAGGGTGCAAAGAAAAGAACCTCACTCTTCCTGTTCTCAAAGAAATTAGTGGTTAGCTGGGTTCTGGTTCTTTAGATCTAGCCTCAGTCTTAAAATCTCCCCATTTGACAGATGAAGAAACGAAGGCCCTGAGACTTTCCAAAGTCATGCCGCTTGTGAAGGGCGGGTCCTGCATAATCCTGCCTTCTCACTACTTGAGATAGGAAGAGGGGACAGGAAAGAAAGAGAAATCAAAACAAAAATGACCAGGTGCTCATTCCCACATGGCTCTTCTGCTGAGGCGAAATAACGAATGCGTTTATCTCCCGTGTCAACGCCGGGTGTTAGAAGAGAACCGACTGTCCCTGAGCCCTCACTGTGTGCCTGCCCCATACTTATACTGGGCATTTACTTAGGTGACCTCATTTAACTTTCTCGGCCAGCTCTCTGAAATTAGCACCATTTCCTCATTTACAACTGAGGAAACTGAAACTTAGACAAATTTGGATATCTTGCCCCAAATCCCAGAGCTAGGGTATGGCAGAGCCAAGATTCACACCCACGCCAGCCTAAACGCAAAGCCTCTCATTTTCCTACCTCCCACGCCACCCCCCTGCTGGGGACGGGTGCCAGGGACTTCCTTCTGCGCCGCCCGCACCCTCTTCACGCAGGCTGGATGGGAGGCGCTGTCCAGGCGTCTGAGGACTGGCCTTTGCCAGTTGTGACTCCGAGACACTAACTCCTGTTCCTCAGTAAGAATTAGGAGTCACCTAGATAGGTGGGGCAAGAGCGTGGTGAGCGTACAGGGACAGGAGGTTGACACCTGGGTTCCAGAACCAGCTCGGCTCTGCACTGTGCATTGTGCTGCACAGGAAAGAACACGGGATAGTGAAGTAGACAGAGCCGGGTTTAGCTCATGCCTCTGCCATTCACTCGTTCAGTGGCCTTGGGAAAATTGCTTCAACTCTCCGAGCCTGAATTTCCTCATCTACGAGGGTAAATACACTCCCCTCATGTCGCTATGGTGGAGGATACACTAACCTTCATCTCAAGAGACACTGACTTCCCTCCCTCCTTCCTCCCTTCCCTTCTTTGCTTCCTTCCTGCAAGTTTTTGGACTCACTTCCCTTTTCTACGCCAGAACTCCATCTGGCCAAGGGAATTCTGAGGCCCCTCCCAAATCCAGCATGCTGCACGGCTGCGATGCCTTAGATACTTTGCAGAAAAGCAGGTCCTGAGACAAGACTGTCCCAGGTGGAGAAGGAGGCTGCGCTGTGTTAGGCTGATGAGAGCAGTAAGTGTGCAGCAGGCAGGGCAGAGAGGTTAATTCGGCTTTCAGTGCCTATTCTTCTACGCTCGGCTTTGGGGAATGTTCCTCAGGCAACAAAATAAATGCCTTTGCCTCTTCTCTCAAACAAACTGGAAATCCCAGTGACAAGCTTCTAATTTCCAGCTCCCTGGGCATTCTGCCATGAGGGGTCTAGCTGGCCTTGATAACCCTTCATTATAGGGAGGAGACAAATATTTACCGAGTGTCTCCCCATGATAGGCAGTGGGCTAGACGGTGAGCTGCTTTCTCACAGTTGAAACCACCACGTGGTCAGTTTAGAGCTCAGGATTCCAACCACCTGGATTCCCGTCTGGCTTCACCACGACAGTCTGTGTGGCCTTAGACAAAGTACTTAACGTCCCTGTGCCTTAGTTTCCTCGCCAGTAAAATAGAGAAAATAGTAATACTCACCTTGTAGAGTTGTTTCGAGGATTAAAAAAGAAAATATTGCAAAGCACTTAGAACCGTTCATAGTCAACACTGTGCATGTTTAGAAGCCATTGTCATCACTCTTCTTCTATTTTATAGATGAGGAAATGGAGGCTCAGAGAGGTGGATCACTTGCCCAAACTTGCACAGCCAGTGGGTGGCTTCTCAGAATTTGAACCCAGGACTGTGCAATTTTCAAATCAATGCCCTTTCCACAACTGTCTGCCTCAGCGCAGACCGCCCACTCCTTGGCCATGTGAAAGGATTAGCAGTGTGTGCCTGCTCCCGTCGGGGCAGCAAGGTTTAGTAAGCTCAGCTGGACCCCTCAAGCAGCCCAGAGCAGCGGGATCCGAGGAATCCATCCAGGGCCCCGGGGCACAGCTGGCAGAGAACAGTGCAGCTCACACTGGGGTCCTGAGTGGGAAGCAGGTGCCTGGTGGCAGGAGCCACTGGGGAGAGAGCTGTGCCAGGCCAGAGGCCTAGAACCCAAACAAACTGAGAGCTCTTAGAGGGTTGGCAGGAGAGTCACAGGGGCAGTTTCAGAAACAGGCAGACTCCCCCTGTCTGCGACAAACTTGCAGGAAGAAGCCGGAGCTGGCAAAGGGTGATGGAGCCTGGTAACCCCTGCCTAGGATGGAGGCCGCATGGTGCCCCCTTCGGAAGAGTCCCTGAAGGAGCTGGAACTTCTGACATGACACAGGCTTTCTGCTCTCCCTGGCTACACACAGACTCTGTTTCTAGGCTGGCCTGGGCAGGGCCACCATCTGGGCTGGACATCGCAGTCTTGCTTTGCTAAGTTCAAGGTTCTGGCCCGATGGTACAGGCCTCTGCGCAGGCCCACGTATCTAGCACTCTGCTCTCGAGAAGGTTCCTCGGAGGAGAGGCCGGTGGGGCACAAGCTGACCAGACTCAAGGAACCATCCTCACCCACAGAAGCTCTCGCAGCTGGGGCTTCTCCCCGGCTGGCCTGCGGGGGGAGCTCTCCTCCACCCCGACCACCACTGACTGAGGCAGCAGAGGAGGGAGAACGTCGGACTTCAGAGCCAGACTGGTGTGGGTTTAAGTCCCAAAGTGACTCTGGGCAAGTTACACAACCTCTCTGAGCCTCAGTTTTCTCCTTCGTAAATCAGGAAGAATAATTCGGCATTGATGGGGTTGTTCATGAGACACAAATGAGACAATGTATCTAAAATGCCATTCGTCAGATGTGACACGTAGCAGGTGCCTACTTGAGTGTTTGTGGTGCTCACGATGGTACTTGGGATATATTTTCCCATGGAAAAAACACACTGCTCATGACCACTCAGGTTTTGTGTTCAGCCACGTCCAGCTTTTATGTCCTGACCCGAAGGCCGGTCATTTTTTCACACTCTATTAGGGGCCAACCCAGCCCTTTAAGCCTCTCCCTGAGGGAAAGCCGCATCATGAGGCAATAAAGCTCCTCTCGGCGACAGGCAAGTGCTGCTGCTCTTAACCTTGGTGCTCGGATATACCCTTGGGCTCCCACCCCGATGTCCTCATCCTGGATTTCCTGGCCACCCTTTAAATGGCTCTCTGTGCTCCCCGTGGGCTCTCCGTTTGCCGACTCCGCTGCCAACCTCAGACGGCGCCCTGTAGTTTCCAGACCGAGCCATACTAATAGCCTAAGCCATCTTTCCTGTTAGTGACCCCACACACTTCCCAGCTTCTACTCTGCCCTCATGCCACAGCACGACAGCCTCGTCCTGACTCAGGATCTGGGGGAGCTGCCCAGGAGGTCCCCGAGGGGTGGTTGCTGTATCGCCTGGCCACCTCCTCCCTCCCTGCCTGCGTGAAAGGCCTGTCACCTCAGGGGAGGGCACCCACTGCGGACTCATTGGGGATTTGTCACGTCTCCATACAACTGAGGTACGCCACACTCTTGGACAAGGCCTCTTGGAAAGTTGGAAGGTGTCTGCAGCCTGAGCAGATGCCAAGAGCACTGGCAGTGTAGGAGACCAGCCGTGCTTGGCAGGTGAACGTGATCACGTTTTCCACGCCTCCTGACATAGAGTGCACCAGAACTTGCCATAAATACCCACAAAGCTCACCTGGAAACCGGAGAGAGGAAGTGGAAGGAGACCACATATTTCATATGTCTGAAGACAGTGATATCTGTGCATACTGACTATTTATACCAAACGCTTTAGCAGACATCTCCGATAATCTTCACAGCCACCCCACAGAGCAGATATATCTGTTTTTACAATAGAGGGAGGACACTGAGGTCCAGAGAGGTTAGGTAAATTCCCTAAGGTCACACAGCCAGGTATTTTTTTTAATCGTTTATTGAGGTAAAATGAACATAACATAAAATTGCCTATTTTTAAATGAACAATTCAGTGGCATTTGGGACATTCAAAATGTCGTGCAACCACCATGGCTATCTCCAAAACATGTGCATCGCTCCAAAGTAAAACTCCATCATTCCACACTCCCCTCAGCCTCTCGAGCCAGGTTTTAACTTTGGCCTGTCAGACCAACCCCCACTACCGTGCCTGACCTTGCGGTGGGAGGTAGGGGTGACAGCCTTACCCCGTCTTCCTCTCTCCTCAGCTCCCTGCGGGGGAGACCTGACCGGACCCTCGGGAGTCATCCTGTCGCCCAACTACCCAGAGCCCTACCCACCAGGCAAGGAATGTGACTGGAAAGTGACCGTCTCGCCGGACTACGTCATCGCCCTGGTATTTAACATGTATGTACCTTTCCCCCGGTGGGAGACAAAGGGTTCAGAGCAGCTAGCGGGTCCAGGACCCGGGTCCCAGGGTGAGTATGCACAGGTCTGCGAGCAGAGGTCTCAGTTCCATGGAGGTGAAGCAATTGACAAGGAGAGAGAGAAACTGGCAGTGACTGAACATCTACGTGCCAGACACTGTTCTCCGTGGTTTCACACATATTATCTTATTTAATCCTCACAGTAATTTATGGAGTAGCTGTCATGATCTCTGTCTTCCCTCTGAAGACACCGAGATTCAGAGAGGTGGCGTGTTCCTCCTCGCCCCCTCGCCCCCTGCAACCCCCGCCCCCGCTCCCCAGCTTTGCACAGCCCCGGCCCCCAGGCCCCCGTCCGGCTCCTGCGCCCTTTCATTCCTCTCACAGATGAACTCTTCAAAAGAACTGCCTCTGCCTTTCCCTACTTCCTCACCTCCCGTTCACTCCCAGCCCCTGGAATCTGGGTTCTGCCTCCACAGTTCCACTGGAAGCTCCTCTGATAAAAGCCGCCCACGAACTCCTGGCTCCAAACCAAACAGAACTGGCCGCGTTTCATCCCACTCTGCTTCTTGGTCAGCCCCTCCGTCCTCACGCTGCTTCCCCGCTGTCTGTGAAGTTGCTCTCCCCAGGTGCTCCACACTCTTCTGTGACTTCATGTGCCCTGTGCTCCCCCCGCTGCCTCTGCCAGACTTTGTGGGCAAAGTCTTCCCCCTTCCTGTCTTCCTGGACAGGCCCAGCCACCCCCGTGGCTGCATTGTCCTCTTGTCAGAGGGACTCCCTCTGCCACCCACCCTGACTGTCTTTGGAGCCCACGGCGGCTCCCTGTCCCGTGTTGGGCCTCTGTCTGGGCCTGCAGGCACCTCAGATGGGCATCTTCCCTCTCCCCGCACCAGCTCCGTCCTGAACCTCGGGCTGGCCCTGGCGCCCACTCACTACTTCTCCACAGCCCGAACGCACCTCACGTTCTTCCCTCTTCTCCGTACCCCCGGCTGCCATCGGGTTCCCATCTAAATGACCGCCCTCGTCTCCTCACGGGGTGCTCTGCCCCGTCTCGCCTTCCCAGACGATCTCTCCCTCAGCGAGCTGTCACAGTGATCTTGTCACTCAAAAATGCTGAAATAACCACCCCAGTTTCCATTTTAACATCCCATAATGATAGTGCTCAGCAATAAAAAAGAATGAACTACTGATACATGCAACACCGTGGATGAATCCCAGAAATATTATGCTGAGCGAAAGAAGACAGACACAAAAAAGCACATAATGTATGATTCAGCTCATATAAAATTGTAGGACTGGCAAAACCAATGTATGGTAAAGAATTCTGATCAGTGCTGGCGTCTGGAGGCGGGGAAGGTTGGCTGGGAAGGGTCACTGGGGACTTTCTGGGGCGATGGGACAGTTCTGGGTCCTGATATGCATGTGTCAAAACTGACAGGGATGATCATTTCACAGTATATAAATCATATTGTGATTTAAAAACAAAGAAACAAACAAATAGATCCTTTATTTTTAAACCCCATAATAGTTCTCTGTTGCTTACAAATAAAGGCCCAAACTTTGGAGTTTCATTCCAAACAGTCCGGCCCCTGCCCACGTCTCCAGTCAGTCCCCAAGCCCGTCCCAAGCCCTGAGCGCCGGCCAGCCTGACTCCTTGCGGTGCCAGGGCCTCTCAGACTCGTCCTGCCCTTGTGACTTTGCCTCTGCTTATTCCCTCAGAGCCACTTCCTTTGCCCTCCGGTCCACCCTCTGAGGATCTTCTTGGCTCCCAAAACCCAGCTCAGGCCTGACCTCCTCTGGAAGTTTCACTCGCACGCTCCCCGGGGAACCTTGTTTTGTGCTCCCGCTCTGCCTGGGGCAGGCCGTATACTTCCCTCTGTTGTTGACACATCTTAGTCCTTCACCCCTACGTGCCCCAGGGCTGGGAGAGAAGGTGGCATGCGTTCTTCTTGCACCCCATTTTTATTTCCAAACCATTGCTCCTCTTCTCCCCTTTTTCTATGAGGGTCATTCCTAGCTACGCTTCAATCTCATAACCTCACTCCTCACTTCCTGCAGCGCCATGAACTTCCCGAAGGCAGGGGTGGTGTCTGCCTTGTCTCTGTGTCCTTGGCACCTTGCACAGTGCCTGGCATATTCAGGGTGCAAATAAAATTTGATGATTGAAGGAAAGGAGGGGCAGACAGAAGGCACTTTTTTAAGAAGTGGCAGTGCCATCATTTGTGACCAAGAGTGACTGGCTCCAAACCCTTCCCTGGGGACTTTAGAAAAAGTAGAAGCTGAATTACAAGTGCAAGAACATGGTGTTACCCGGCAGTGGTGTGGTAACCCCACAGCCCACACCAGTGTGAGAGGCAGCCGAGCGGGAGGAAGGTCAGTGCACATCTGGCTCTGTGCCCCTCCCCCAGCTCTCCACCCTGTCTCACCAGCCTTACCCCTGTGCCGTAGAGATGTGTGGCCTCCTCTCTCTACCATATGTCTCAGCCAAAGGGTCGAATAGCCATTTCATTCTCAGTCCAGCCAAATGGCACATAGTAAGTCTCGCTTAACATCGTTTCCAAGAACCTGCCACTTTAAGCCAAACAATGTACAGCAGGTGTTCAAATAATATTGTTTCATTCAATGTCATTTCCTTGTAACGTTGATGAGGAAAAAAACTGGTTTTGTTATACATCATTTTGCTTTAAGTCGTAGTATACAAGAGCCTATCGATGTCCTTGAGGACTTACCATACCTGAATATCCCAGCCCAGGGCTGGATGTGAATGAGTTGGCATCCAAAATCTGTTCTCTGCAAGCTCATTTACTTTTCTATTGCTGTCATCTTGGCACACCTGATTGGTATCGATTGCTTCTGTTGGATATGCACTTAAGGGTGGAATCGCTGCATCATAGGACAGGCACGTGTTCAGATTTGGTAGCTAACAACGAAACGGTCTTCCAAAGTGGTTGAACCAATTCACACTCCCACCAGCAGGGCGTGAGAGCTCCAGGGGCTGCACGTTCTTGCCAATACTTGGCACTCTCCATCATTTTCACTCTAGCCGTTCCAGCGGGACAAATTACAGTCTTGAACTGTAATATTCAATTTGCTAAACTAAGACAGTTTTTTAAATGGATTTTCCTCCACGCCAGGGCCAGGATAGCTAAAAGAGAGGCACACCTGTGGGCGCGTGGAGTGGGGTGGAAGCAGCCCCTGGGGAGAGCAGGAGGACGGGCTCTGGATAAAGGCACAAAGCCAGGCTCCTTCGTGGTCACAGGCCCCTTCCTGCCTGGAACCGGCTCCCTGGGTGTCTCTTTCCCTCTTAGAAAAGATGTACAGAGTAGCACGGTATAAAAAATGTTAGTGTCAGGTGTGAGACCTGTGTTCTGGACCCGCTTAGGTGACCACTCGGTGTCTAGAGTGGGCATCTCATTTTCCCTTCTGTGTAAGGAGGACATTAGGTTTTCAGCTCCAGAGTTTTGGGCACTGATTGTGGACTCTGCCTCCTCTGCCCCTACGCCTACCTTGCCCACCTTCACACCTGACTGGGAGGTCAGCGGGGCTTCATCCTCACCCTCCCTCCAGCCAGTCCTCAGGTGTTGAGTGTCAGTGGGGTGGGGGGCTTGCTTTCTGGGAGGCCCCATCCTTCGGTTGAGCCTAAGGCCCCAGCATGAGCCTTTATTTGACCTTAGTGGGGTGGGGGTGGGATGTTTTTGTTCCCCAGCTTTAACTTGGAGCCTGGCTATGACTTCCTCCATATCTACGACGGACGGGACTCTCTCAGCCCTCTCATAGGAAGCTTCTATGGCTCCCAGCTCCCAGGCCGCATTGAAAGCAGCAGCAACAGCCTCTTCCTCGCCTTCCGCAGCGACGCATCTGTGAGCAATGCTGGCTTCGTCATTGACTACACAGGTAAGGGCCCTGGAGCCAGAGATTACTGAGGGCAGGGCCGGCCAGACGTGGCAGAGGGGGAGAGTGTAGTGCAGTGAGGAGAGCCCTGGGCGGGACCACAGGGTGCCCACGCCAACCCTGGCACTGCTGCCACCTGCAGAGAATCTGCCTTCCCTGCGGTCCCTAGGTGGCTTAGTCCTTCACTCCCATGTGCCCCAGGGCTGGGAGAGAAGGGGGCCAGCATTCTTCTTGCACCTCATTTTTATTTCCAAACCATTACCTTTCTTCTCCCCTTTTTCTCCCCTTTTTTAGAGGGTCATTCCTAGCTCTACTTCAGTCTCATAGCCTCACTCCATACCTCTCGGCTAATATCTTCCTAGTCACTCCCTCTCACTCAGGAGGGTTTGGACATGAGGCTCAACCTTCCTCTCTACCCCGAAGCCTCCCACCATCTGGGTGACTTTAACACCATGTGAACAGCCCATCCAATCCTAGGGTCACAATGCTTGGACCTCTGTCCCCAGGATACTTCTTGGCCATACTGTGGCACCTTGTCATAGACCAGTCACTTTCTGATACTTCCTGATCACATTTGCATATCTTTCCTGATGTCTTGCTCCCATTGCACCTTTGAACTAATCAAGGCAAGCTCACAGTGTAGGGGTCAGAAGCAGAAGTCAACAATTGTTCTCTTTAAGGTAGCAAATATTGCAGCTATGCAGTTCTGCCGTTGTAGGGCTAGAGCGGCCATAGACAAAACATAATGGCATGGGCATGGTTGTGTTCCAGTAAAAATTCGGTTACAAAGACAGGCGAGGTCCCTGCCTAGTCAAGACCATAGACTGTCAGATGGAAAGTTCATGTATTTATCTAACGTCTCAAAGCTTCCATTTCTTCATCTATAAAATGATGGCCGGAAAATTCCTGTCTCACAGAAATGTTAATATTACAAAGATCAACGAGTCCATGCATTAGAGTCCTTGGTGTGGTGCTGGCACGTATCACACGTTCCACAATGTTTAAATATTGTTAGTAGCAGACTGAGTCGTTCCAGGCTCTCGAGCACTCCGCTTTCTTCTACTCTGTTAATCTCTTTTTGACCTTTTATTCTTCCCTAATTATCCCAAACCCCATTATCCAAATCCTAGCTCCATTTCTTGCTTGATTTGTGAGCTCGGCAAGTTATTATCTCTTGGAACATTGTCTACAAAATGGTGGTAATAATAATTATGTTGCAGAAGGTTAAGATTAAAAGATACTTTATACATGCATATTTTATATGTGTATGTATGTATGCGTCATGCCCATGTGGACTAACACTCTACAGATACTCTAGAGATGAGAGATTTTGTTATTTCTACTATAACCCAAGTTCTCCCAGGTCTCATCAGCCTGTGTGTACAAATGGGGTCACATTACCAGTTAAAATTAAAAATTTTCTGGCTCATATTCCCCATTTGTATAATGTAGGACCTCAGCCACCTTTTAAAGTGTCCCTTCATTAAATATTTCTGAGCCCCTGGGAATATCTCACATGAGCGCGCAGATAATGCTCCTAACTGCAGCTAACTCAGTGTTTACCAACCGCCAGTGCTACTCTAAGTACTTTACATCCATCGATGCACTGAACTCCCATAGCTCTCAGTTGTCTGCTGTTCATCAGGTACAGTTCTGGAAGATTGGTACACAGAATAGAGAGTGTTTTGCTTGTAGTCTTCTTGTCCCATGGGGCTGGCCTGGGGAATGGATATTTTGCCTCCTCGCTTCCTCCAGGTACCTGTCATTCAGCAAACCTCCTGTATCCAAACCCTTCTCCACGTGTTGGTATCAGATCAAACAGTCAGACCTTTTGGAATTCTAACAGAAGGCACCTGACTTAGACCCAGCCTGGGACCTCGACTGCTCCACCCACCACCATTCCCACTGCCGTATCGTCATCATCATTTTGTTATTATTCATATCTTTATCCATATTCTCATCAGTACCCTCAATTTTCCTGCCCACTGGTCCTTCTATTGCATAAACCATGCAAAACTGCACCCTTTGTTAAATCCACACCCAAGCAGCTGAGGACAGCTGAGCAAACATGATGTTTAGAGCCACTGCAAGTAATGTCCTTTAACCCCAGCTAAGCCTTAGCGGCCACTGGAGCTGCCTCTGATTTGTTAGAACGGAGTTCTTTTCCTTGTCGGAGATTCTAAAATTTCACCCCAAATGGTATCACTATCAGCCTCATTCTTATAAGATGATTTCATTTCCTCTTCCCTGGGTACAGAAAGCTACTGGGTAGAGATTCCCTCAGCTTCCTCTCCAATCACCTTGCTCATGGCAACCTGGCTGTGGCCATCTCTCCCCCAGGTTTTCTCCAGGGAAATTCATGGGCTGAGAGCCACCCCTCTAAGTTCTTTCCCAGTGAAGCTCTTGGGCCAGCTGCTGGCCCAAGATAGCATCTAGATGGGTCCTCAGGTCCAAAACACAGCCCAGGGACTAAGGCCTTCCCAGCTGCCATTGGAACCAGCCAAGCGGCTGAAGGAGAGCCAGCTACCAGGAAGAGGCAGGATGGGAGGCACAGCCTACTGGCTCACCCTCCACCACTGCATTAGGATATGCAGTACCAGTTCCAAGATAAAGATAAATGTGGGTGTTTGGGGAGTAGGGGGTGCCTGTTGAGAACCTCAAGCTGCCTACCTGCCTTCCCAGACTACACACCTCCTAATACTAGTCCCCCCTATTATCTCTGGTAGCCCATTTGGTGGAAAACCCAGGGGCCCTGCCTTACCCTGTGGTGTCCCTATCTCAGGATCCCTGGATCCCTGGAATGGGTCTACTTTGCTACCAGATCCCATGGTCTGGGTGATATTCTGCCATGCTCAATATCTTTCTTTATAGGGTGGGCTCCACCACTTATTAGCTGTACACCTGAAACAAGTTACCTAACCTCTCTGAGCATCTGCTTCCTCATCAGTCAAAGGGGGACTATGACATGAGACGCAGGAGCCATTGTGAGGGTTGGTGAATAGGCACAGCACCTAGCAGAGTGCCCAGTACTGGCAGGTACTTGGCATGCACTTTGATCCACTCTTTTCCACCCCACTGCCTTTTCCCTGTGTAACTGGTATTTCATTTGCTGCGCCCTTGTTGAGAAGAGAGAAGGGTACGGAACCCTCTTCATGGGGCTAACCCAGTGGAACACAGTACATTTCTTTTTTGTTTACTGAAGAAATAAAGTATGAGCTTATGTTTTGCACATGTACATGTATGAGGCTGGAATATTTGTAACATGGAAATTTGTGATATGTGTGTCTGTATACTTCTCCAGTCCATAGCAAGGAATTTGGATTTTCTGTACTCTGTGAGTCTGTAGAACACCATAGATAGAGATGTAGCCCAGTGAGAACTTACACATGAGGCAGGGCTGGTTCCTTGGGAAGAGAAGAATTGGCATCCAGAAGCCTTCTATGTCTATGTCTTTTAGAGAGATCCGGGCCTCTGCTAATACTGAGGGTCCGAGTCTCCTGGGAGCTGTGGCTTCAGGGGTCCTGCTCTGGGAGGTCAGGGGAGCCTGCGAGAGCCCCATCTAGCGAGATGTCGCTGGACTCAGCTGGGCTTAGTACAGTGACAACCACTCTCCGAGTCAGCCCTCCCTCCACCCAAGGCAGAGAAACCAGGGGCCTTTCCCCACATCCTGCCAACTTCCCAAGGGGGAAGCTGAAACAGTTTGGTTGAATCTTAGGTAATATTTAGTTTCAAACCAAAAAACCCACTCAGACCAATTTAAGCAAAAAAAAAAAAAAAGAGAGATAATTTATTATAAGAATCCAAGAAACAGAAACCCACTCAAAACAATCTGAGACAAAAAGGAGATGTTAGTATAGGAAAACAACTAACAAGCAAACTAATTTAAGTGAAAAACTGTTGTATATTTTAACAATACAGATAACGAAAACTCACTCTAACACAAAAAGGCAAAATGTTTCTAGAATACAAGAGCCCCAGGGCAGGAAGCATAAGCTCCCAAGGGCCTGAGATCGGGACCTGAGAGTGAGGTTATCATCCCCCCAGGACCACCTTGTCTCCTCTGCTCCTTTCTGAGCATTTGCTGCGTTCTCCTCTCCCTGCAGATCAGTGTTCCTGGCTTCTCCATTCTCCTGGGATAAGCGTGGCTGCCGCACTCTTGACTTTGAATCACATCCCAGTTTATATTCCAATTCCAAATCCCAAAGGGTTCAGCAGAGAGTCCAGGTTTAAATCGAGTGTCCACTGAGCAGCATCCTGGGATTAGGGTTTTGGATAAGGGGAAGGGGCAGAGCCAGCATTTTTATTCATTTGTTCATTCACTACATGTTAATTGAGCACCTACCATGTGCTAAACATTGTTATAAGGGTTGAGAACAGAGCAGGGAACCAAAGTCTCGATGGAGTTTACATCCTAGTGACAACCAGACAGACAGGCATTTCTCCTGCAGATGAGATGCTGGAGGCCCACCTAATTCTAAGTCAAGGAGGGGCGGGTTTTTAGTTGTCTCTTTTCAGTTGCCTCTGGAGGTGGCTGTGGTGTCAGGAAGGTCCCTCGTCGGACCTTCTAGGAGATGGTTCTAAGTGCATTCATGCCATCTGTGGACTTCTAGGAGACCATTGCTCAGAGGCACTTCTCATCTGAATCATTCCTCCTGGGTAGCTTTACCCTTCGCTAAAAGGAAACAAAGGGAACAGGGAGAACCCTGTCTTTTGGATACAAGTCCCAGGGAGGTTCGTTGTCTTTCTCCAGACCAGAGATACCAGCAGAATGGGGTAGGGAAAGTTTTATTCTGCCCTTCCAGCATGTGTGGTGGGTTCCCTAGGCAGGGACAGGATAATACGTCCACACATGCACGTGTGTGAGACCGTTCATTCGCTCAGCAAATGTTTAGTGAACGCTTGCTTCACTCCACGCCCTCCCCTGGATACCGAGAGCACAGCAGTGAGCAAATGGTCATGGTCCTCACCCCAGTGAGACTTAACAGTGAGTGAGGGGAACAGACAATAACTAAGTAGACAAGCAAGAAGAAAAAAGCAGAAGAAGCTAGAAAAAAAAAAGCAGCCTACTTTGAGGAAGAAAAACAGGGTGCCCACTTCAGAGTGGGGGTTGGTGAAGGCCTGTCTGAGCAGGGGCCATTTAGACAGTGCCCTACAGGGTGAGTAGAAGCTCTCTCTGTGCAAGAGTGGGGGTGCAGGGTGTTTCAGAGGAAGGAGTTCCAAGCATGTGTTAGAGAACCTGAAATAACTCAGGAAAGGCCAAGGCAAATCAATTTGTACCAGAAGGTACTAAAAAATATATATTTTTCTCTTTCAAGCCCTTGGAAGTAACACTGTGGGCCTGGGAGCTATGGCCAGATTTCCACACCTGCTACCACCCTCATTCCCACAACCTGCTGTTGCCACGGGTCACCCTTTTTAAATTCAAAATGGAAATATCTTCATTTTTTGCCTATTTTTAAAGTAATGCTTGTTGGAAAAATGCAAACACTATAAAAGCAGATAAGATATACTCTTAACTTAACATCCCCCAATATCACCATTCCCTGAAGTACCATTATTAATAATTCGTTATCTGATTTCAGGTATTTTCTATAAATATAAAGTAATATAAATTCTATACCAGGGGTTGGGAACTTTTTTCTGGCCAGGGAGGAAATATTTTTACTCCAGTTGATCTCTGTGGCTACTACTCAGCTCTGCTGTTACAATGCTAAAGCAGTCACAGACGGTATGTAAACAAAAGGCCTGTAAACAAAAGGCTGTGTTCCAGTAAAACTTTATTTACAAAGCCAGGCAGCCAGTGACCTGTAGGCTACAGTTTGCTGATCCCTGCTCTGTATGAATGAGATCACACTGTGTGTACTAATCTGCAATCTGGTTTTTTTGTTTTTGTTTTTTTCCCCAACAATAGATCTTGGGCATCTTCCCATATCAGTATTCAAAGATTTATGCTTTTTCAAAGCTGCTTGTAGTTCAGTGGATGCCTCTGATCCAGCCTTTTTAACCAGCTCCTTACTGGTTGAATGTTTGGGTTGTTTTCAGTTTTTTGCCATTGCAAAGTCTGGAAGTAAGCTTCATCTGTTACGACCACAGAGAAGCTGATTATTTTAATTTTCCTATTTTGGAGGGTTTGGATTATTTATTATCATCATCGTGATGTTTGAGTCATTTAGTGTTATCATGACTGAGCTCTGGTCTGGCAGACTGAAGACCTGATTTGAGTCGTAATTCCACCTCTAAAGAGCTGAATGGCTTGGAAAACTCATTGTCCTCTCTCATCACCACATTCTTCATCGATAAGCTGAACACGAGCATACCTGGCCCTGATTTCTGCAGAGGGTATTGTGAGATACAAATGAGATAACAGATTGGAAAGTGCTTTGGAAATTATGAAGTGATATTCCTATGTAAGGGGCTATCATCATTACCATTATCCTTGTCGTTGTTATTAATGTGATAATGCTTGGAATGATGAGCTCATCTTCCTCTGACACGTGAGTAAATATAGAACAGAGGCTTTAGATGGAAGCACTGATGTGGTGGTTGGTTTTCCAAGCCTCAAAGTGTTCAGCCAGACAATTCAGCAGCCATTTATTAAGCCTCTATTATGTGCCAAATATGGCCAGCCCTGGTGCCAAGTGCTGTGCTAGCTGCCAGGGTTATGGAAGACTAGGTGTTGGTGCCTTTCCTTCAAGCGTTCAGAACCCACTGGAAAGAAATACACTTACCCGACCTACCAGTGTGATATGATACATGCTACAGCCAGGGAAAGAAAAACAGAATTCTGCCAGAGAGAAGGCAGAGTTCAGGAAACCTCAGAGAGGGTAGCATTGAAGAGTGTATGAGTTTGCCACACAAAGTAGAGAAGAAAGGACACTGTGGTGTCTGTAAAGTTCTGGGGCAGTCATACCCAGTGGGGGTCCAATGCCAGTGCAGCAGTTACCCAAAAACACAGTTGCTTAAACAAGGTAAAAGTTTATTACCCTTCTTGTAAAAGAAGTCTTGAGGTCGTGATTTAGGGTTGATGGGGAGGCTCCACCTGGGCTCCGTCCGTCCTTCTGCTCTCCCATGCCAGTCCCTGACCCCATCCTCAAGGGTATCTCGGACCCAAGGTGGCAACTGAGACTCCAGCCATCAGGTCTGAGTTCTAGACTGAGGGAGCAAGGGAGGGAGGAAAGAGGGAGGGGCCCATGAGCATTCCTCAGCTGAGTCAACTTCCCTTAAGCAGCCTTTCTAGAAGTTCCACATGAATCCACAGAAGATATTTATTAAGTGCATACCATGTGTCAGGCACTGGAATACAGCAGTGAACAAAACTGAAAAGCTGCCCTTCCAGAACCTGCATTCTAGTGGAGGAAGGCAGAAAAATACAAGGTAAACATATAGTAGATGAGGGAGTATTAATCACAGTGGAGAGAAAGCAAAGAATGGTGTCAGGGAGTGTTGGGGAGAGGAATATTGCAATTTGAAATAGCTGCTCACAGAGTGTCACTGAGGAAGAGACACTGAGCTCAGTCCTGAAAGAGGTGAGAGAGGGAGCCGTGCCAACCAGGGAATGTCCCGCACACAGAGGCCAGTGTGGTCGGAGCCAAGTTCACAAAGGTACGACAGGAGCAGAGGTCATGAAGGGGACGATTGGGAGCCACATGCACAGGGCCTTGGAGGCCTGAAAGGATTTTGGCTTTTTCTCTGAGCAAGACAGGACGCTACTGGATTGTTTTCGGCAGACAGGGTCTGACTCGTGTTTACATCTCTTTGGCCAGACCTGGCTCCCCAGGAGGCTGGGAAATGTAGAATTCAGCTAATGCCTTGAAGCTCTGGATAGAATCTGGGCTCCATGGTAGAAGGACGAAGAAGGGAAACAGATATTGGGGCCACAGCTAGTTCTGCCTCTTATGAGCTGTGTGAACTTGCTTCCAAGTTACTTAATTTTTCTGAATATTTGACTCACTTTGAATTTATAAAAAGGACAAATGAAACATAAGACATGGTGACAGTTGCCTGCACACGTATAAAATGTGGATATATTTTAATATATGAAAAATGTTTCCTAATTAATAGATACATCCACATATAAAACATAATATTTAAATTCTAGACATTTATACCAAAAATTTTGTAGCCTTGTCTGCCAGTGTGTGGTGGTGATCTTTTCCTCAATAAAATAGAAGTTACCTATGTATATAAGTATATATAAATGTTCCCTGTATCTCTGCGATTCACATATGGGTCACCCAATGACCATTCATATTCTGGCCAGAGCCACTAGGATTACGTAGAGGACAGATTTGCTGAAAGGGTCAAGGCAACACATCACAGGGCACATGAGGAAACCACTGAGGGGTCCTCTGCTAGGCAAGTGACCATTGTCTGGGTGCCACTTGAGTTTAAATGCAGTAGTACATCCAGAACTGCTCCACCCTCAGCTATGGGGGAAGACTTAAAGAGCGGGATGATCAGAAGGGCTCAAATGCAAGAGTAGCTAGACTTGGCAGGATCATAGACTCTCAGACTCCCACCCCATCAGTCAGCCGGCTGATTGGCAGCTGAGTGACAGCCTCAGCAGCAGCTGCCTCCTGTGCAGGTAGTCTAAAAGGTACCCAGGTGACAAGGACCGCCCTCAGCAAAATTCCCACTGAGCCATTCATCTCTGATGAATGAACTCTGATCCCTTCTGTTCCGGCTCTTTCCTCCTTAGTGCGGCTCTTTGAATTTCTGAATCCTTCTGCAAGGGCTGTCAGCACCTCTTTGTGAGCCCCCCTCTCTAGACCTCTCTGGTGCCCCCCCATAGCCTCTACGACTGTAATGGAAACCTGATTCTCAATGCATCTCCCTGGTACTGACTGGCCTCGGCCATGGCCTGCCATTGCCCAGCCCCAAGGACAGGCTTCTTGACCATCAGTGAGCTTATTAGAAGGGGGACTGAGGAAAGGCCATAGTGGATGGACGGGAGCGTTGGCTCCCAAGAGCTGCTCAGGATTTCCGGCTGATGGTGAAGGATGTGTAGAGCTAGTGCTCCCAATCCTCAGGCAATGTCAGGTATGTTCTTATCTGGTGCAGAAGGACAGAGTAGATGACAGTTGGACACATCCATGACATAACTGATTGGGAAGACCATTGAGGATCAATAGCCAAATGGGGAAATCCTGAGGTTTCCATAACCTGGCAAGTACCCAACACCCAGTGCAAAGCCCTAGAAAACTGTACTGGAGACCTTGATTTGTCCCAGAGGTTAGGTAACCCTAACCAGAAGGGAAGTGAGGTTTCCTGCTTCCTCCCTGGATCTAAGCATGGGGACGCATCCACCCCGCAGTGCCTGCACCAGGCGGATGTGACTGGGCCTGCAGAGCAGATGCCAGATCCACCTCCCCAGCCAGCAGTGGGTGGGGCAGAAGGGAGAGGGAGAGAAAGAGCCGTCTCCTGAGGCACGCCGTCCACCCTGCTTCCCGACTGAAGACAAAAAGCCAGGCCTGCCACGCTGGAGGGTGGAGGGGGTCAGGGCTGAGCAGGGGGTGAGCTGCGCCTGCACACTGGCCTTTACCACAGTGCCCCTGCCTGCAGCTGAGATAGGTCAGGGACTGTCAGCTCCCACCTGTCAGAGCATCACATGCTCCCTCTGGGACAGAGCCAGGAGGGGCATGAGAGAGAGCCTCAGAGGTTTGGCTGGAACTCCTCCATCCGTGGACCAGGGCGAGAATGTGGGCAGAGGAGGGGAAATCTCCCTCTTTAATATGATTTCCAGCCTTAGATTTCTAACCAAATTTAGAGGAGTTTCTAGACCTGAAGGAACAGGACTAACAGTATTGAATCCCATGTGCTCTCTGTGGCTAACTAAAGTCAGGTTCTCCTCCTGGGTGCTGCACTGGAGAAACAGGCTGCTAACAGGCCTCTGTGCGTGTGCGTGTGTGTGTTTTTCTTTTTCCCAGAAAACCCGCGGGAGTCATGTTTTGATCCTGGTTCCATCAAGAACGGCACGCGAGTGGGGTCTGACCTGAAGCTGGGCTCCTCCATCACCTACTACTGCCATGGGGGCTATGAAGTTGAGGGCTCCTCCACCCTGAGCTGCATCCTGGGGTCTGACGGGAAGCCCGTGTGGAACAATCCGCGCCCAGTCTGCACAGGTGC